ACCAACAACATAAACAAAAATAACAGGAAGTAGCAATCATGGGTCATTAACATCCCTTAATATAATAGGACTCAATTTGCTTATAAAGACAGAGGCTAACATACTGAATACGAAAGTAGAATCCATCCTTCTGCTGCACACCTAAACTACAAAGACAGACATTACCTCAAAGTAAAGGATTGGGAAAAGATTTTCCAATCAAATGGACCAAGAAAGAACTTGGTGTAGCTATCCTAATATCTAGCAAAATAAACTTCAAACTAAAGTCAATCAAGAGAGATGAAGAAGGACACTTCATACTCAGCACAGGAAAAATCCATCAAAAGGAAAAACATTACTAAAGCTTAAATCATACAGTAAGCCCCACACACTAAAAGTGAAAAACTTCAGCACCCCACTCTCACCACTGGACAGTCTACCAGACAGAAACTTAACAAAAAAGAAGGGAACTGTGCTCCAATGTCTGATCCTACTGCATGTACTGGCTTTGTGGGAGCCTAGGCAGTTTGGATGCTCAACTTACTAGACCTGGATGGAGGTGGGGGGTTCCTTGGACTTCCCACAGGACAGGGAACCCTGATTGCTTTTCGGGCTGAGGGGGGGGACTTAATTAGGGGAGGGGGAGGGAAATGGGAGGCGGTGGCTGGGAAGAGACAGAAATCTTTAATAAATAAATAAATTAAAAAAAAAGAAGGGAACTAAGAGATGTCACAAATCTACAGAACATTCTACCCAAAACACAAAAGAATATACTTTCTTCTCAGAACACATCTAAACACCTTCTCTAAAACTGACCACATACTCAGTAACAGAGCAAACCTCAACAGATACAAAAATATTGAAATTACCCTATGTACCTTATCAGGTCACCACGACTTAAAGTCAGAAATCCTACAAACACATAGAAACTGAACAATACTCAACTGAATCACTACTGTGTCAAGGAAGAAATAAAGAAAGAAATTAAAGACGTCCTAAAATTCAGTGAAAATGACCACACAACATACCCAAACTTATGGGACGCCAGTGTTGATGAAAGTTCATAGTACTAAATACCTGTATAAAGAAGCTGGAAAAATCTCACACTAGAGAATTAACAGAACACCTGAAAGTTCTAGAACAAAACAAAATTGATAGACCTTTATCCAAATTAACAAAATCAGAAATGTCCTTTATCATGAAGGCAATATACAGTAAGCCAACAGTCAACATTGAACTAAATGGAGATAAAGTGATTACACTAAAATCAGGAACAAGACAAGGTTGTCCGATTCAATATGGTACTTGAAGTTCTAGTTAGAGCAATAAAACAACAAAAGAAGATCAAGGGGATACAAATTAAAAAAATCAAACTTTCATTATTTGCTGATGATATGAGAGTATATATAAGTGACCCCCAAAATTCTACCAGGTAACTCTTTCAGCTGATAAACAGCTTCAGTAATGTGGCAGAGTACAAGATTAACTAAAAAAAAATCAGTAATGATTCTATATATATATACAGATGATAAATGGGCTGAAAAAGAAATCAGAGAAACTTCACCCTTCACAATAGCCACAAATAACATAAAATATCTTGTTTTTTATGTTTTTTTTGTTTTATTATTTTAAGTGGAAGACCTGTATGACAAGAACCTTAAACTTTTAAAGAAAGAAATTGTAGAAGACATCAGAAAATGGAAAGATCTTTCATGCTCTTTGATAGGTAGGATCGACATAATAAAAATCATCAAATTTGGCAATCTTACCAAAAGCAATATACAGATTCAATGCAATAACCATCAAAATCCCAGAAAAATTCTTCACAGACCTCAAAAGAACAGTACTCAACGTCATACGAAAAAAAAAACCAAGGCCGGGCGGTGGTGGCGCATGCCTTTAATCCCAGCACTCGGGAGGCAGAGGCAGGTGGATCTCTGTGAGTTCGAGACCAGCCTGGTCTACAAGAGCTAGTTCCAGGACAGGCTCCAAAACCACAGAGAAACCCTGTCTCAAAAAAACAAACAAAAAAAAAAAAAAAAAAAAGAAAAGAAAAGAAAAGAAAAAAATTCCAGGATAGGCAAAAAAACCTTGTACAATAAAGAAACTTCTAGAGGCACCACAATTCCTGACTTCAAACTCTACCACACAGCTACAGTACTGAAAACAGCCTGGTATTGGTATAAAAACAGACAGGCAGACCAATCAAAGACCCGGATACCTATAAACACCTGATTTTTGACAAAGAAGCTAAAAATATAAAATGGAAAAAGAGAACATCGTTAACAAATGGTGCTGGCATAACTGGATATCAACATATTGAAGAGTGCAAATAGATCCATATCTATCTCAATGCTCAAAGCTCAAGTCCAAATGGATCAAAGACCTCAACATAAATCTAGCCACACTGAACCCTGTAGCAGAAAAAGTGGGAAATACACTTAAACACATTGGCACAGGAAACCACTTTCTAAATATAATACCAGTAGCACAGACACTGAGAGCAGCAATTAATAAATAGGGCCTCCTGAAACTGAGAAGCTTCTGTTGAGCAAAGGACTTGCTCAGTGAGACAAAACGATAGCCTACAGAAAGGGAAAAGGTCTTCACCAACCCCACATCTGACAGAGGTCTGATCTCCAAAATATATAAAGAACTCAAGAAACTAGATATCGGAGGGATGGCTCAGTGGTTAAGAGCACAGATTGTTCATTCAGAGGTCTTGAGTTCAATTCCCAGCAACTACATGGTGGCTCTGTAGTGAGATCTGGTGCCCTCTTCTGGCCTGCAGGGATACAGAACACTAACCCTAACCCATAAACAAACTAATAAACATATGAATAAATACATCTTTAAAAAAGAAACTAGACAACAAAATTCCAAATAATCCAATTACAAAATGGGTACAGATCTAATATAAGAATTTCATGGCTGAAAGACACGTAGGGAAATGATCTACATCCTTAGCGGAAATGCAAGTCAAAACAACTCTGAGATGCTATCTTACCCCTATTAAAAACACTGATGTCAGCTAATGCTGGAGAGGATGTGGAGTAGGGGAACACTCCTGCATTGCTGGTGGGAGTGCAAACTGATACAGCCACTGTGGAAATCAGTATGGCGATTTCTCAGAAAATTAGGAATCAGTCAACCTTAAGACCCAGCAATACCATTTTTGGGCATATACCCAAAGGAGGCACACTCATACCACAAGGGCATGTACTCAACTATGTTCATAGCAGCATTATTCGTAATAACTAGAACCTGGAAACAACCTAGATGCCTCTCGACTGAAGAATGGATAAGGAGAATGTGGCACATTTACACAATGGAGTATTACTCAGCAGTAAAAAAAAAATGGCATCTTGAAATTTGCAGGACAAAACTAGAAAAAAAAAACCATCATGAGTGAGGTAACCCAGATCCAGAAAGACAAATATAGTATGTACTCACTCGTAAGTGGATATCAGACATAAAGCAAAGGTTAACCAGCCTTTCCACAACCCCAGAGAAACTAGAACTCTGTTCCAGAAACAGAAGCTGATGCCGAGACCCACCACTAACCACTGGGCAGAGCTCCCGGAGGACAATTGAAGGAGTGATAATATGAACAAAGGGGCGAAGACCATGATGGGGAAACCCACAGATCCAGCTGACCTGAGCTTCTGGGAGCTCACTGAGTCTGCAGTGACAACCGGACAACCTGCACAGGACTGAACTAGGCCCCCTGAGTGCAGGTCACCCTGGTGTGGTGTGGGCAGTGTGTGGAGCCACTGGCAGTGGGACCAGGATCTAATCCAAATGCATGAACTGATTTTGTGGAGCCCGTTCTCTATGGAGAGATACCTTACTCAGCCTAAGTCGTGGGTGGGGATGGTGGGGGTGGGGAAGGCCTTGATCCTGCCTCAAGAAGATGATGGGACAGACTGAGTTGATTTCCCAGGGGAGGCTTTACCCCCTCTGAGGAGTGGATGAGGGGTGGGGTGGGGGGAAGAAGGGGGAACAAGAAGAAAAGAGGGATGGGGAACTGGGATTGGTATGTAATAAATAAATAAATAATAATAAAAAAATGAAAAGTTATTTTGGCGGGTGGTGGTGCTGGCATGCTTTGAGACCCAGCACTCACTGGGAGGTAGAAGCCAGTGGATCTCTGAGTTCGAGGTCAGCCTTGTCTACAAAATGAGTTCTAGGACACGGAGAAGCTGGGTCTCGAAAAACTAAACCAACCAACCAAAGAAGCAAATAAATAGAATTTTGTTTGTATGCGAATGTGGGGGTGTCTGCAGAGGTCACAGAAGGCTTCAGGTCCTGTAGCACGGGTGCTGAGAACTGGGCTTCAGTCCTTACCAAAAGCAGTTAGCGGTTTTAAGAACAGAACCATGCCTTCACTCCCCCTCCACTGCTAACTAAGGTTTTTTGTTTTTATTTTTTATAATTCTTTATGAATCAAGACAAGATGTAGCACATTCTACTGTAATCCTTTTTTCTTGTGTTTTGAGACAGGTCTCAGGTAACCCAGGCTGGCTCCCACTGAGGAAAGAAAATGACCTTGAATTCCAGATCCTCCGGTTTCCACCTTTGGAGTGCTGGGATTACATGCACGAGACACTTAGCTTTCTCCTGTCTTAAAGCTTGTAACTGAAAAAGAAAAAAAAGGGGGGAGGGTTTGCCAGGTGGAATTCAGTAACTGGTGGACATGGCATGGCCTGTTGCAGGCCCTCTTAGAGAGGTGGCCATTAGGCAAAGTGGGGGAAAGGACAGGACAGAGGCATGCTCTAAGGGATGAAAGGGGCTGGAAGAAGTAGGGCAAAAGCCTCGGAGGAAATTCCTTGCTTTAGAGTTTGGAACGTAAGTGTTGTGTGTCTCCTGGCCGAGCCGAGACGACTCCATTCTGCGCTCCCGAAGCCAGGCGGCAGAGGGCGCCGTAGCCACGCTCGTCCTGCGCCTCCGGGGCGGGGCGTCCTCGGGGCGGGGGCGGGGCCGCGCGCTCACGTGACCCCAGCTCATGGCGGCGGCGGCGGCGGCAGCTGCGGCAGCGCCGGCGGCTCTCAGCGGCTGGAGCCGGATCCTGTAACCGGGGTGTGGGCCCGCGTCAGTCCGTCCCTCCTTCGGCCCCCTCTCGTCTTCCGGAGTGTGGCTGGCGGAGCCGCGATGGCGGAGCGAGGCCTGGAGCCGTCGCCGGCCGCGGTGGCCGCGCTGCCCCCCGAGGTGCGGGCGCAGCTGGCTGAGCTGGAGCTGGAGCTGTCGGAGGGTAGGCGCGCGGCGGCCCGGGCGGGCGGGCGGGCGGGAGGGCGGGCGGGCGGCGGCCTGCGGGGAGGTTGGGCCGGGTGCTCGCCGCTCCCCACCCGCGAAGCGTGGCTGCGCTTTCATTGTTGTCCCTGGGGGCCCCAGCAGGACTTGGAGACTGGTCAGCTCGAGACAAAGCTGCGCCCTCCGGCTGACACCTTGCCCCTCTGCCCTGCCTTTCTCCTGAAGGGCCGCACGCCTGCACCCATCTCCTGCCTTTGGAAAGAGACCCAGGGCAACGCCGCAGCTCCATCTCTTCCTGCTTCTCTAACAATGCGAGGTGCCTCACCAGTGACAGGCGTGAGAAAGGAGCGGGGAGCCATTGAGGGTCCGAGGTTAGAGGCAGTGGCGTTAACCCAGAGAGACACCCGATGCTGCTGCTTTTAGACGGCTTCTCTCATGGGGGACAGCGGGGCTTTTTCTTGGCACCTGTATTCAGGCTGGGTTTCCGCATCTGATCATCTTTTGGAGTCTTTGAAGAGGTGGCTACCGGTTACGTGCAAATCCTGGCCAGCACCCTCTTTCTTTTGACAATGGATTAGTACAGGGAGGGTTGGGTTTATTTAGATAATTTCAAACATGGACTATATCTAGACACTGTTACTAGAAAAGTCACTTGGACAACAATGAGAAGCGCAATGCCGGCTGTGGGCATGTGATCAGGGAATGCGCCTTTGCCACCAGCTCTCTGTAAAGTTCCTGTTTTTATCGCAGGCGGCCTCTGAACAAAAGCAGCATTTTCTCCGCGCTGGGTGTCAGTACTTTGCTGATGTCTCCAGAGTTACATATTGTTGAATTCCTTGCCAAAGGCCTTCACCATTATTTTTCAAGTGCATTAGAAACTGTTGATGGGGTAGGGGGGAAAGAATGTGACCAAGTTCCCAGGAGAGTTCCAGTTCTCACTTTTGTTAACTTACCATGGCTTTTTAAAGGGCTTTTCCCCTTAAAAGTCACTTACAGTGAAAAACCAGGATGAATTTGAGTGTTACAAATCTTAAGCAATTGAAGGAAATAATTAATTTTAATAACACTTTAAGGCTTTCCCAATGTATAGGGTGGTGTGTTTTCACCTGCATGTAATTACCAACATATTATTTTTCAATTAATCAGTTGGGATGTGCTTAGGAAGATAGGAATCCTTTGGGCTGGTTGCCCGGTGATACCTTTGGTCAAAATACTCACCAGGTAAAAAAAAAAATCAGTTGAAGTAGTTTCTTAAAATATGTTTCCCTTAAGATTTTCCTTTGCCTTGTCATCCTTGTGTGAAAGTGTTGTCATTAAGTCTGATTAACTCCATTCAAATCTTTTTAAACAGTTACTATTATTTTTTTTTAAATAACAAATCAGCTGTGGCTTTCCTTAGCCAGAAAGGGAGGTTTGGCTGGATGTTTGCGTGAGAGGGAGATTAAAAATAGGTTCTGATTGCTTTCATCGGGAAAGGGAAGTCCCGGGCGCTCCTCTGGATGTGATCTGCTCTGCGTGACTGTTTACAACTCAGGGTGTTTCTAGACATCTGTGGAGAGAGCTGTTCTGAGGACCTATTTCGAGGATCTGCCGCTGATTAGCTCACCCTGCTCTCGGAGAAAGGTGTGAAAGTCTTAGAAACTGGAGACAGCAGCCTTTAGACATCTGAAGGTCAAGTGAATGGGTTATTTTCCCAGGCAGAATGTTTTGATTGGCACATGGCTTAGTTTAAATTTATTTCTTAAGGGTTTGTACTGCATTAGCCTGCATTTTAGTCTTCGTGCTCCAGAAGGAGATAACAGTTGAGAAACCTTGAGCCTGCAATGTCAGCGGATTGGCCATCTGTCTGTCTTGCTTCAAGTACACAGATGGTTGGTGCTATTTGGAGTTCAAGTGAAGTTAAAATAAGCCAGGGGTCCCCAAATCTTTGGTGGTGTTTGTGACATCAGCAAGGGTCCTCAAATCTGTGGTGGTGTTTGTGACATCAGCAGTATATTTTGACCTAGCCTTTTCAAAAAAATTTTTTTCTCTGTAATTACTGTTCTGACAAAAAAACTTTGCTTTTTTTTTTTTTTTCTTTTAAAGACCTCTGTGTTTGTCACGACTTGCTGACATTGGCAGATTTGGTCTTTCCTTGTTTTTTTTTTTTTTCTTAGTTTCAGGCTGTAGTTGGTCCTAAAGGTAGGAGAATCTGAGCAAACTACTGGCAGAGAATTTTCTTTGTGCGTGTATCAGTGTGTGTCCGTGTGTGTTGTGCTGCAGGCTTTGATCACACATCGGGTGAGATGTAGGTCGGTGCCTCCTTTGGGCTGTTTGCCGCAGAGCCTGTGCAGAGCCGTGTGATGGGTCAGCTTCTCCAGCCGCTCACCAGGGACCGCTTCTGCACTAACAGCCTGGGACTGTCTGGAGAACCATTTAGAAACTGAATTTATAAGTGAGCTTGATAGATGAGTTGGATATGGCTCTTAGCATAGTTCCTATTTCTATCTTTTCTCGGGATCTGCTTGTGTCCTCCCTTGACAGTAAGCTCTGTTGGACTTCACCCCTTTGGTGGAATGGGCTTGATGAGCATTGTCTGTTTAAATCTGACCTAGTGTCTGTTGTGTGATGCTTTTCCTATGCACTGTCATCTGAACATCACTAACCTTCTCGATGGGGTAGAACAGGTATATTTACCCCCTCCTTGGTTTAACAGCAGGGAAAATTTGGACTCAGAAAGGTTAAAGGATTTTGTTTAACACTGCCCATTGAGTGGGCACCATTATCTCAAGCCGTGATATTATTATGGAATCTGGACGATTGCAGTATCTGAGTTGTGATTGCTCAGATTTCCCCCTAGGAAACACTGCATTCAGTGTTTATGCCACAGTTCTGCATAGCCTTGTCGGTTCTTAGATTCACGGTGTCTGCCTGCTGCTCAGCTGCCTTCCCTGTGCGGAGGATACAGAGGTGAACAGGATGCTGTGCCAGCCTGCTAGGGGACATCTCTAAAAAAGTCAACAAAACGTCACACAAGACCATGATAGAGCCATGCGCAGGGGCTGCCTTCTAAGAAAGAGGAAGCTTTCCCGTTGTGAAAAGCATCAGAGAGCTGTAAGTACAAGTTGTGTAGTTGGTAGCAAAGGCTGTGATTTGGCAGGCGCACAGCACTGGGTGTTAGGCCAGCGCTGGTGGTGCAGGCTGGAGGGTGAGCAAGTCTTTCCGTGTCTGAGAACAGCCCAGAGATGGTGGCGGCTGGAAAGGTATTTAAGATAAAACAACACTTACCGGAAGGGAGCCTCCCTTTTCTTGTTTGGACACTTCTGGGCATGAACAGCATCACACCCCCTGTCCCTACATGTTTCATTCCCTGTCTCTGAGTCCTGAAAGTGGCACAGAGTCCACCTTGGAGGCGGAGACATAGAGGGCACCTTCTTAGGAATTGTAGGAGGGTTGAAAAGAAAGGGGAAATATGGGCAGACTGAATTTTAATCTCAGAAATGAGCAGGTCAACTTTCATCAGCAGAAAATTTGTAAAGCCTTTCAGTTTACCTGCAGCGGGGACTCACTTCCCTCCAGATGTGTCACGAATTCATGGAGTTGTAGGCTACATACCCCACCCCCCCCAGGCAACTGAAATACCTGATGTCAAGAGTTCAAGTCTGGAGTATAGATTATTTTTATTTATATTGCTGCATGCTAAAGAAGCATTCTACCACTGATTTCTACCCTCACTCAGTCCTATAGACTTTTATTAAATTACATTAATTATTAATTACACACTATGTATGCACATGAGCTCATGTGTGTGTCTGTGTGTGCTCATGTGCGTGTTCGCACACACGTGTCATGGTGCGTGATGGAAATCAGGAGAACAGTGGGATCAGTTTTCTCCCTCCCACCATCCAGGTCTTGAATGGTGAACTAAGGTTGTTAGGTTTGTTGGCTGGTGCCTTTTTGCTGAACCATTGGGCCAGCCCCAGATCCATGTGTTTAAAATGTCTGATTTTCTTTATTGGAGTATTGAGGATTGAGTCAGGGCCTTACACATGCTAGGTGAGCGTCTACCATCACCCCCATGAGTGCTTTGCCATGGGGCTGTGTCACCATCACCCCGGTGAGCAGAGCACTCTCCTGCAAGGCTGTGTAGATTTTACTTATTTTTTCCCCTTCATTGCAAAGAGAGTCTAGGCTGGTTTAGAAGCCACTATGCCTGGCCCCCATAGATTGATTTTTTTTTTTTTTTTATAGATTGATTTGTTTTTGAGACAGGGTCTCTCTGTGTAGCTCTGGCTGCCCTGTAATTTACTGTATAGATCAGGCAGGCTGGCCTCAAACTCAGAGATCTTCTTGTCTCTGCCTGCCAAGTCCTGGGATTAAATCTGCACCACCATATCTGAATCTTTTATTTATTTAAATAATTTAAAAGAATTTTCCCCAGGGTTTGTACGGTCATTATTGTAATTCTCCATTGCTCTCTTATGCCAAAATATGGAATAATGCCCCTTCTTGCCTGTTTATATTTTGTCAGTCACATGTTTTCTGATTAATTAAACTGCTTTTCATTTAATATAAACTGTAGAAGCCAGAGTTGTAAGGAAGTTTAATATGGGCTGGTATAATATGGCATGTAGGGACAGTTAACACGTGTATGCTCAGTGACTTGACTGTTCTCGTGAACAGGGTCCTTGTGAAGTGATGCATGAGGTCACTTGGTGGAGGTTTTTTAATTTTATTTTTTTATTTTTTGAGACAGGGTTTCTCTGTAGCTTTTGGTTCCTGTCCTGGAACTAGCTCTTGTAGACCAGGCTGGCCTCGAACTCACAGAGATCCGCCTGCCTCTGCCTCCTGAGTGCTGGTATTAAAGGCGTGCGCCACCACCGCCTGGCTATTGGTGGAGGCTTTTTAAGCAAGGTTTCACTCTACCGTCATTTCTCTTGACAGCCTAGATCCTTGCTCTAACACGTTGGTTCCTGCGGAAGGCTGGAGCAGAAAAGCTTTCAGTTTGTTTTCACTCATCGT